ATTTAAGACGATTGTGAATCTTTTGAATGTAACTTAATTTCTCAAGAATACTTTTTAAAATTGGTCCACTTTTAAAAAGAAAATTATATTATATTTTTAAATTTATTTAAATATATGTGTGTGTGTGTGTGTGTGTGAAATTAATCAAAATTATGTTACTCTAAATTCATATACTAATATTTATTTTCATTAAATTATTTTGGACCTTTTTATGTTCTTTTAGAATATATTTCTAACCAAAACCCTAATATTCATGAAATATCATCTTCAATTAAAATCAAAGTAACCATGGAAGAGACACAATTAGATCAAATTCATACAGACAAGGCAATGTATGAAGAAGAACTTGAAAAAGTAGGGATTACCTTTTATTACGGGTCGGATTAATTTAATATGTGAAGGATTCATGATGTGTGTTTGAATTATTTGATAATACGCCTTTTGAATTCAAGTAATATCAGTAAAAAATTTTCACTCCGAATTATTTGAGTTAAAACATTGTTGGCTATCTTTTTTGCTATGATTATCAAAATAAGAATTTGAGTTTTTTTGTTGGTTTATGTTTTTTTTTTTTTTAAATCTTGATTTTCTTGAATTCAAAACAATTTGTGACTAATCTGTTGGGATTATCAAAACAAGTAAATAAAATTGACTTTACACACTGATGGGAATTATTGGAAATATGAAATGATTATGAAGGAATTATGATGTGATAGATATATCAAAATAGTGTTTAAAGAAATAAATTTTATAAGAACGGTATTGAAATGTGACGTGGATGAAAATATAATTTTATTAAAATTTTAGTATGAATGGATATAGAGTGTGATTGATATATAACAATTATAAAATATTATATTAAAACTTTGAATGATTTTGATAGGAAACCTTGATCAAATTTTATTTAAGTTGGATATCGATTAAACCATGACCTGCAATAGTAGAACAAAAAAAAAAGGCAACATTGCGTTTTGATGTTTTGTATGAATGTGGACATAAATAAATAGTATTGCCAAGAAAAGGTGAACATTTTGTTCTAATACGACCTATTCAATTTCACGTGTAAAATCCGAATAGAATTGAACCGGACCATGTGGTCCCCAATTCAATATACGCGTGCCAACAAGCTGGAATTGAATGCTAATTGAATTCAAAAGTGTCAAACTCGAAATAAAAGTCTTTGTTATGGTTGGTCTTTTATTGAATTATTATCGACTCACTACTTGTCTTGTCAAGTTGAGGAATACTAAAGTCACAAATGTTTAAGAATAATTCTACTTGTACAATAGAGTTTGATAACCTCTCACATGCATGCGGACCCCGCGTGTTTAAAAAATTAAAAGAAAAAGGTGGACCCTCCATGTGAGTGCTTGTCAATCGAAGTTGTACAACCTACATGGTCCAATATTTAATTAGTTATTAAAATAATAATTTGAGAAGTCTCAAACGTGCAATGACTAATGACAAAAAAAACTTATTCAAAGCATCAATCGGTTCATCTGTCTTTGTCAAAATTGAAGACTATGATTGTCCTAAAATAAGTTTAACAATGACTTTATTTTCCAATTCTCAAAATATCACAAAAATACGTCTACGATGAGTTATTACACTTTTTATTCTCATAAAATATGAGTCGACTAGAAAAGGAAGACCCGATTAATGCTATAGAACACAAATTATGTCTGTAAAATTACGATTTTTCACAATTTTTCATATGGTAACGACGAAATTTCATTATACATTTAAATCTTATTCTTAACCACATGAAAAATATTTAAAAATTTGTCAATAGACTAACTAATATAGATTTTAGTTTATATAAAATTAATAATTATTTTTAAATAAATTTAAAAATATCTAATAAAACAATGATAATGTCAAGTCAAACAAATTTAGAACACGAGTAAACACTACGAAAGGCAATTAAGTTTAGGACTAAATGCACATTTAACTAGGTAACCCATTTTGGCCTTATTATCTTTAAATTTAGTGATTTACAATGTACTCAACGTCGCATTTTAACGTCTAATCAAGACAAATCAATGTCACATTTGTCGTGCAACTTTTTCTTTCTAATAGAATCTTAGCTTTTTATTTTTTTTTTTTCTATGACAGCTAACTTATTATTCGATTTTATAATTTTTTAGAGAGATGCTACATGTACACTCTGGTGTACAATATTATTGACGCTCCTCTCACAAAATGGGTGGATCCCACCATAAATAAAATAATCGTGAGACCCACTATGTGAGAGGAGTGTAAAAGTGAGTGTACACTTATCATTTCTCAATTTTTTAACTACCCTCACTTTTTTCTTTGATCTTCAACACTAAATTCAAGGGTGGACTTAAATTCAAATTGATAAATCTCATTATGCATTGGTATAGTAAATATTGGTATAGCAACAAGTATTTTAATTTTGTGTATGCATACGCGAGCATGTTTTACAAAACCAAGATTTTTAAGTAAATTTCTCGTTCAATATATGATGAGTGAATATGTCTTTTTTTGTGATTATCATTGACTTTTTGGACAGAAATCGTTATTTGGAATTATATATGTTAATTAATGTAAGGTTGATGTTAATAATGTGACAGAAAAATTACATAAATATAATATTATCTAAAAAATTGAGAACATTTAATGCAATTTTGAAGTAATGCTAAGAACAAAAATATGAGAATACAATCACCGACAATGAAATCTGAAGGCAATTAAATTTGTGATTAAATGCCATATATGTCCTTTAACTTTTTCTCCTTGTCTAGCAATTATTTATGATAGACAACCCATTTTGGCCTTGTTATCTTTTAATTTTAGTGGTGTGCAATGTACACAATGTCACATTTTAATGTCTAGGGAGGACAAATTAATATCACGTTTGTCGTATAATTTTTTTTTTCTTCTTCTAATTGATAAGTTTCATTTTTTACGATACCTAACGCACTGGCGGACGGACGATGGGGCTTGGTGGGTCTCCAAATTTATTTATTTTTTAAATATTT